CATCCTGAGCTTGACTGCTCTGTTTAAGCAGGCACTTAAACAACTGAGCTAATGGGCAGGCTCCCCTCTTCCAAGGATGGACTGGACAACTTGCCTCCGTGTCCTTCCAGGTTACTTTGTGCTGAACTCTGAGTCTCTCTGACAGGAGGCGCAGCTCAGCTGTCAGGCCCAGTACCCTGCTCCCGCTCCTCCCTCTCCAAAGGTGGCTGTCAGCTCTCTGAAGAATCAGTGGGGAATCCACCCTGATGGTTGCAGAGATCACAGAGGGACCCAGGACAATGATTAAGATCCCCAATCTCTGCAAACCCCAGCTAGCCGAGATGAACACGGCTAACCCTCCTCAAGATTCCCTGGTTTTAGCCCTGCCACTTCTGCAGACAACAGCCATCAGTCAGACAGCTGGCTGTGCAGCCAGTGGGCAGCTGCGACTGTCCTGGCCACCCTGCTCACACATCCAGGGAAGTGTCTGCCCTGACTACCATGGGCTTCAAGGTGAACTCAGCAGCAGAACTGAAATTGTTCCCATCAGTGCGCTGGGTCAGCAGGGTCGAGTTCAGAGCAGATCGGGCCAGTCAGCAGGCTCAAATCTGAAGCCACCACAGGTTGTGGCCGCTTTCACCAGCAGCACTCCCCTGGCACTGCTCAGCTTGCTCTAGGGCAGGGCTGGCAAACCTATGGCATGTGTGCCGCAGCCGGCTGTTATCACTCACAGCTCTAAAAGCTTCGCCGTCACTGATCTAGGAGGTTCCCTTCACCCGTCACGACCCTTCCACCCGTCCTGCAGCACAGACTCTCTTAAAATAAAGCCTCACTCTGGTGATGGGGCCACAGAGAGCTGGCAGGGTTGATGAATGCTGTGGTGTCGACCAGTGGCATCAGGACCCTGAGCCATAGCAGGCTGAGTTGGCACTCAGAGCCCAGCGCCACTAGCAGAGCCGCACTTTGCCAACTCATTAGAGAATGCAGATGGCAGTATTCCTTCCCACGGCCTGCAGGACGCCGCAGAGTCTGCCTGCCTACCTCCTCCTGATGTTCTTCCTTCTTTAGTTCTTCCAGAGCTGCCCTCCACCCTGTACTTGTAGCAGTTACCACTCCCATAGGTTGCCCACCAACGACTCCCCGACTAGGTCAGAGTCCTTCTACTGAGTGATCTTGTAGAACATGTAGCTTTCCAGATTTGTAAGGTTTGTCACAGTTACAATTTATACTTAATTGACTGATTTTACATTCCATCTGCCTCCACTATTTGCCTTAATGAGGAATGGGGAAGTTTGGTGGTGTTCACCATTTCATCCTCGGTTCCCAGCACGAAGTCTGGCACATAGTAACTGCCCAGTAAATAGTCGTTAAATGAGAAAATAAATGATCAGATGGAAGATAATGGTTTCTGCATGCTGTAGGCTGCGCTTTTTACTCGGTATCTCCCTAGGAATATTTAGGTTGGTTTGTTTCAAGTGGATAAACACCAATGGACATACCTAAAAGGAGAAGAGACTTTCTGGAGAAGCTGAATCCAGGGGAAGCTGCTGAAGGCAAAGTTGTACCTGAGCAAAAAATGGTACATTTCTCAGGAGGGCGCTGACCTGGGCTATTCTGGCAAATTTGTTTCCTCTTGTGCCGATATGTGTTTTTGTTCGAGCGGTGGCTCTGCCGTGATGCTGGGGCTATTTTACTAAGACATGAGGAGAGTTGGTGATGTTTCAGAGATGCACTGGTCCTCCCCAGTTCTGTGGGCTTTTGTTTGTTGGAATCCGGGATTGAACTCAGGACCTTGCCTTTGCCAGGCAGGCGTTTACTTATGCTGCTGAGCTATCCCCCCTGCCCTGCCCAAGTTCTTTAAGGATTGCAGAGTGACTCTGGCTGGGGAGACCCTGAGCACTAGCACGCTTGGCTGTGCTGTGGAAATGGTTGGCAAGATCAATGGAGACACCCCTTCAGCTGGTTATGGGAGCGGCGACGGGTGGTAGTGAGAGAGCAGGGGGATGCAGAGTGATCCTAGTGGACAGGCAGACACATGAGCAGCCCGAACCTCCTCCGGTGGGACTTGCAGAAATTCCAGAGGAAGCCCTGGAGGGATGTCAGGCAGAGCGCCTGTTGGCATTTGTAGGGCAGGCAAAGGAAGTGGGGGTGGTATGACCAAAGGGGCTGTAGTGTAGCCACAGCCTGGGTAAGTCTTGGGGCTAAACGTTAAGGGTCGCTTGTTTTTGAGATAGGGTCTTGCTATGTAACAGGATGACAGGCTTGTGCCACCATGCCCTGCTGATACTTTATGAGGTTTATTTTATAAATAAATATTTATTTATTTATTTGGTATGGGACTCACTAAGCAGCTTGGACTGGTAGTGATCCTCCTGTCTCTGCCTCCCCATTGCTGGGATTATAGGTGAGTACCACCATACCTGGTTTTGGTGGCCTGCATGTTGTGCCCAGGTTTCCGGGGCCGGCATGACATGCAGTACAGGGGATTGAACTTGGAACCTTGTGCTTGCCATGCAACCACTTAGACTACTGCGCTATCTTCCCAGCCCTCTACAGGGCTTATAATGTGGTTTCACACGTGGCAGAAACATTTCTGAGGAGCTGATAACTTTTCCACATGCCTGCGTGTGTTGGACAGTAGTGGGCACAGCTGCCCTGGGGTGACCAGATTGTCTCCGAGTGCCTGCGACTTCAGTAGTGCTAGCGGTGAAAGCGCCCAGTCCTGAGCAAATCACACGGGTTGATCACTTTTTTTTTTTTTTAATGGGGGAACTGGGGATTGAACTCAGACCCTCGAGCTTGCCAAGCAAGTGCTTATTCTACTGAGCCATCTCCCTGGCCCCCAATTTTTTTTAAAAAAAAATTTAATGATGACTTTAACAATTACTCTAATACCTTCAGTGAGAAAAAGGCAGATCACACATAGCCCCGTAATCTAGCAGGATCAAGAACAGATGTTCCCTTTAGGATACTAAGAATCTACCCAGCAGTGAAGGTCACTTCTGAGGCTCCTTTTTACTTTTTTCTTTCAATTCTGGGGATTCAACCCAGAGCCTTCACGCTGAGCTATATGTACCCCAGCTCTTTTGGTTTGTTTGCTTTAGACAGGGTCTCAGACTGCAGTTCAGGCTGGTCTTGAACTCACTTTGTAGCCCAGGCTGGCTTCAAACTCTCAGCCTCTCCTTCAGACTCTCCTACCTCTGCCTCTTGAGTGCTGGGATTACAGGTGTGCACTACCACACCAGGCCTCCCTAGCTCTTTTTTATTTTTTTTCAATTTTGAGACAGAGTCTTTCTGAGTCCCCAAGCTGCCCTGGCTTCTTACTATACTCCTGCTGTAGCTTCCCAGAATGTAGGCGTGCACCACCAGGCCCCGTGAGAGGCCCCTTTGCAAATCTCATCTGAGGCTAAGGAAGGTCTCTACCCTGAGGTGCTATCTTGGATCAGCACCTCGTTCTCCGTCACCAAGGCAGCTTCTTGAGCTTCCCTAGCCACACACACAGTGCCTCTTGGTGCTATGTTTTCTCTGATGCACGCGATTTTGTTTTTCTTAAATATGGTCCAAGGATCAAAGATCTAATTAATGCTATGAATTTGAAAGCATTTGTATATAAATAAAATCTCCGATGAGATAAACATGTTTGTCTGGACGTGGTGCTGCACACCTGTAGTCCCAGGTCCCGGGAGGCCAAGGCAGAAGGATCACTACAAGTTTGAGGCTAACATGGGCTACACAGCAAGTTGGAGGCCACCTTGAATGACAAAGTGAGGCCCTGTCACTGACAGATAAACACATATTTGCCATTCACTGTGCGCTGATTTTTCATTCTGAGGTGAAGGTCACCTTCTCACCAAGATAATCAACTTCTTGAGAAATGGGACTACTGTCCTCAAAATGACACAAACAGTGATACTTCCTTCCCTTTCTTTCTTTCTTTTTTTTTTTTTTAGGTCTTGGGGATTAGATCCTTGTGACCTTGCACTTGCAAAGCAGGCCCTTGTGGAGCTATCTCCCAGCCCCTCTCTTCTTTATAGCATAATATGTTAAAAGATGAAGGAAGAGGAGGAAGAGGGGGAGGGGAGAAGCAGCATCAGAGGAAGGATTCACCAGGGTGAATCACGGCTATGACATCCCTTGAAGGGAGTTAGCATGGCGGTTCATGTAACTCCAGCCCTCCTGGAGGCTGAGGCGGGAGCGTGATCATTAGTTCCGGAGGAAGTCAGCCTGCCGGCTATGAGACTGTGCTGACTGGACTCAGTCTGCTGCCTACAGCCACGGGCCTGTGGCAGAGGCCCTGAGGCAAGGCACTGGAGGCTTCCAGCAGCCTCCCAGGAGGAACTGAAGGCTTCCTGTTGGTAACATGAATAAACTAGGAAGCGTGTCCTCCAGCCCAGATGAGCTACAGTGGGGTGACTGTAGCTCTAATTGCAGCCTGGGAAGAATGTCATGAGAAAACTTCAGCCAGAAATGCTCAGCTGAAGCATGCCTGAGCCTCAAAATCTGTGTGAAATAATATAGGTTTGTTGTTTTAAAGTTCTAAATTTTGGTATAATTTGTCATGCGGTAAGAGAACAAACGTGACACAATATAACGAACAACACACTATACATTTGTTTTTGTTTGTTTTTTTTAAATTTTTTTAATTTATTTTTTTATATATAATATGAGAGAGAGAGAGAGAGAGAGAGAGAGAGAGAGAGAGAGAGAGTGTGTGGTGTGTGTGGCCCGCTCAGCCCACCAGGGGGCGGGGCTGGCTGGCATGTGGTGCTGGGGGATTGAACCACGGTCCCTGATGCCTTGCCAAGCTTGTTCTAAGTAGGTGCTTTAGACCACTGAGCCATCTCTCCAGCCCACTATACATTTGTTGATGCCCAAATCTTTTCAGAACAGTGAAATACATCTTCACTGAAATTATAACAACAGCAAACAGCAACAAACCCAGAAAGTGATAAAGGATAAGGAAGACGGGCATTCCTTGAGTTGCAGATTCCTTGGCAGAAGCCTGTCCTAGATGTCCAGGTTTATAGGTCTTCACATAACATGGAAGAGCCATCGAATTCCTCCCCTGGAAGAGCATAGGATGGTGGGGCCCTGGAGTCAGCTGACCAGGGAGAAGGCCCATTTTCTTTTCCTTTACAGGCAGAAAAGATGAGGAGTAGTCCACTGACAGCCAGGAGGAGACCCGCAAACCAGCCCAGGAAGAGGGCATCTCCGAACTCCCACCGCGGTACAACCTCAGGGATTCTGTCATCCCAGAAATCTTGGACGATGGTATGGGCCACCCCGGAGACTGGAAAGAGGGTAGTGGCTGAGGCCAGTGCCTCCAAAGTCCCTCCCAGGAGGCAAAGGTATTTCTTGAGTACATCTGTGGTCCCGAGAAACTGGCAAAATTCAGACCCAAAGCCAGAGAGCAGAAGCCCCAACAGTCCCAGGCCGTGGGACACTATCATGAACATGCGTGCTACCTGGATCTCCCGCGGCAGAGACAACAAGGAGTCGAAGGTTTTGCACACGCTGCCGACTTCCTCACGATGCACGCAGGATCCCCAAAGCCCCATGGTCCAGGTATCCCTTTCATTCAGTTCCATGTTGCGTGTCTTCCACTGGGGCAGGGTGGTGGTGATGCAGGAGCAGATCAAACCAAGGAGAGCAAGGAGCAATCCCCCGAGCTGTAGTCTCCCGCGGACACTCCAGGCCATGGTCACTCTGGTCACAGAGGCAGAAGAATGAGGACAGGTTTCGCAGGGGCTGGTTTGCAGCAGGGACAACTTTTCTGAAGGCAGCGTTGGGAAGCGTTGCACAGGCAGAGAGGATTCGTGTGTTGGTTTTCTTGGGCAGCAGCTGAGGCAGAGGTCAGGAATGGGATGGCATTTAGGTTTAGGAGGTGTATCCAAGATCAGATGTGGGTGTGGATTCTGAGGGAAGGTCCCATGAGCAGCAAAAGGCACCTGGTCAGCCATCCATGTGTATTTGGTAAATACATCCGTAGAGCTGAAATCCCTCCCAGCCCTGAGATTACAGGACAATGTTCTGGGAACGCATGTTGATATAATCTTTCTGGAGGGTAATATGACCTGTTCATACAGAGTCTACGTGATGCAACCCCTTATCTCCAGGAATTTATCTATTTTTTGGTGAATAATAGTTTTCAAAGATTTATGAAAATATCTACTAAAATGTTGTTAATAATTGTAGATATTGGTTAATATCGGGTAATATGCTATTTCTGTTACTCTGAGCAACAGATTTGATGATATACATCCATAATATAACAATCACTGTTAATTTTTTATTCTTGTTTTGAGATTCTGTACTATATGCATTGTTGTGTGTTACTCGGTTTCTGTCTTTGTTTTTGCTATTTTTTACTTTTGTTTTTATTCATTAAAGTAAATAGATAAATAAAATTATTGAGTACTATACATTATGTAGGTGATGTAGAAGAAGCCCGGTTTTACTTAGAACTTTTAAATGATTTACTTTCCTCTTAAGTGGTAAAAAGAGGTTTTATTTGTACTGCCTTAGAGTACCAAACTCCCCCCCACACACACCCTAGAGAAAAAGTTAATTTTATTTTATTCTTAAAGTTAATTTTAAGAAGAATATAACCACGGCCGTCTGCTATCCCATGGCCATGGACCTCAACAAGGGCCACAAAGTGACTAAGAATGTCAGCAAACCGAGGCACATCTGCTGTCGCAAACACCTCCCCAAACACACCAAGTTCATGTGGGGCAAGATCCGGGAGGTGTGCGGCTTTGCGCCCTACAAGCAGCATGCCATGGAGTTGTTCAAGGTCTCCAAGGACAAACGCGCCCTCAAGTTCATCAAGAAAAGGGTGGGAACATGCATGTGGGTCAAGAGGAAGTGTGAGGAGCTGAGCAACGTGTATGCTTGCTTTTTCGGTACTAGGAAGCGAACTCAGGCCCTTGCGCTTGCAAGGCAGGCAACGTGCTACTAAGCTACACCCCGCCCTATTGGTCCATTTTTGATATACATGATGATTACATTCATCCTAGAGAATTTCTATATGTACATGATATGTCTTGTTTCTTCTTTTTTTCCGCATTCCTCTTCCCTCCCTTCAGCCCCACTTCCCCTTATGTATAAAATCTTTGTTTCCGTTTTTATCCTTCTATTCTCTCTTTTTCTTATCCTCTTTTTTTGTTTTCTTTAACTTTCTGCAAAGCTTTATTCCAGAGGGCTCAGTCCTTCTTGGCAGCTGCCTTCCTCATGGCGGCCAACAGGGTGCTCAGCTCCTCACGCTTCTTCTTGGCTCGGATGTGCGTCCCCACCCTTTCCTTGATGAGCTTGAGGGCGCGTTTGTCCTTGGAAACCTTGAGCAGCTCCTTGGCGCACCGTTGTCGCAGGAGGTAAAGCTGCACACCTCTCAGATCAGTCCCACACTAACTTGGTGTGTTTGGTGACGCATCTGTGACAGGGGCTGTGCCTCGGTTTGCTGACATTCTTAGTCACCTTGTGGCTCTTGTTGAGGCCCACGGCCATGGGATAGCGAAGCGCTGTGGCTACTGTTCTTCAACAGTTGCTGTGGCAGAAGCTATCCCTTTGTTCTTCCCCCCTCCCT